TGAGCTAATGCGCGATCGGCTCGCCAGCCTTGAGAGGCGTAATAAGGCAGCAACAAAGCGTAGGCAGCGTAGAAAAAGCGGATATAGAAGCGAGGAGTACTTACAAAGGGAGCTGGAGAGGATCTACTCGCTCAGCGCGAGGCTGATTAGCAGATTGCTCATGAAGAGCGTTAGAGAGGAGAGCGATTAGGTGTTAGCCGCCAGGCTTTGGCGCGCTGTAGTAGGTGTAGAGAGACTGGCCATAACTCGCGTACGTGCAAGAAAGATACTCTAGGTACTGCTTAATCTATTATGTTAATATGTAGTAAAACAACTATATTGTGGTGGAACTACAGGCTTATAGAGGTGCGCAGGTTTGGTGGGGTGCGGCGCTCGCTTGCCTGCGGCGCTCGCTTGCCACATACGTTATTATCATTGCAAGCTTAGTCATTATACCATTCCCCCTACCCCCCCCCTTTTTTTCTTTTTCTTCTTCTCCTTCTTCTTCCCCTCAAACCCAAGGTGGAGAGAATTCCCTTACCGGCCCTTTTATCACACAAGTTTATCAAATTATTAGTCAAACTCAGAAAAGTAAAAAAAATTAGGTGTAGCGAATACGACTTGGCGAACCCCGGAATATCATGATGTTTTTTTGCAATGCGTTTATTTAGGTTTTATACAGAGTCTGTCCCTTTGTCTGACCTCGTAACTTGGATTAAACTTTGAGCAAATGGTTTGCAGAATATATATATATATATATCTTGGCTACTGCATTATTTCCCATGTTCACAGTTACACAGCTTGTGCAATAGCCACGGAATAAACCGGATACGTACCATGGATCCCCATACGCTCGCACTCCAGCATTGCATTACAAGACAATAGCAGCCGCTGCTTTTCCCAGCCACCGCTCACAAACACGTGCTCTGTCCTGCTTAACAGGCAAGCCAAGTCAGTAGCGCTGCAATAACTCTCTCCCACTATGCATACACATACGTCCTACACATTGCACACGCACCACTCGATGCCGTCACGAGGCCATCCCCTCCCTCTGCATTCTCCTCGTGGCGCCAGCCACCATATGCGCGCATGCCTGATGCACCGACACAACAACACCTACGTACGGAGAATATCGCCGGACCAGACATAAACTCCAGTCTTTGCAGTGCACTGCTGGTTCAGCGATACCGGGTCCGGGAGCATTACGCAAACGCTATGCACATGCGAGCGAGCGAGCGAGCATACCAGGTCGACGCAGCAGCAGCAGCAGCAGCAGTAGCTTCAGCCCTGATGCATGCGTCTTATAACGTACAAGGTAATATTTGAGTCCCCCCCCCCACCCCCTCCCCCAACTGCAGGTGTGCGTGTTATCTCGACTTGCATGGGAGGACTTGATTTCCGAAAAAAAACAAATATTTTTCAAGTATGCGTACGTTGCATATTGTGACTTGGAGGGTTCTCGTCATCTAGACTCTCTCTCTCTCTCTCTCAACGAAACATGGTGTTCGCTGCATCTTAGTTGCAATTGCCATGAACCCCCGCCGCCGCCGCCGCCGCCGCTAGCACATGCATGCATTGGCTGTACTTATGTTGTACTGCGGACCGCTACTGCATGTATGACAAAATATCCTGTTCAAGTATCGCACTAAGTAAGTATCCCGGTGTGTAATCCGTGGGATGTGCAGCTTTGAAAAATTTTGTAATTGTGTTATTTCTAATTTTTTTTTTACCTTTGATCTTACACTGAAAAAAAACAGTGTTTCAGCCATGCGATATTTCATGACTTGGTTGAATGCCCGTCACGTCACGTCATGTGTAAGTATGGAGTGGGCTGGGTATCGTGCAGTATAGTATAGTATAGTATAGTATAGTATAGTATAGTATAGTATAGTATAGTGATAGCGAAAGACTTTGCGCCACATGTTTTGCCCCCCATGTCTTGGCTAAGGAGAAAGGCGAGAATGCACCCAGCTAAATATGTAGTGTTAGCCAGCCTGTCCTTGAATGATTTGCAGGCTGAGATTCGTCACAAAAAGGTCACCGCGTGCGTCTGTGTTCTAATCGCCAGTATACAATGCGACGCTGCAAAGTCTGCTGCAACCTCATCAAAACAAGTCAATCCCAGCCAGAAACATATCCAGTCGGCTCGAGGGAAAACCACACACACACACACACACACACACACATACGGTAGCGAGGGGATTGGAATCAGGGGAAAATCGGCTGACGAGTCCAATGCTCACTGTCTAAACTCGTATTGGAGTCCCAAGCGAAGCATTGGTCTATCCGCGCCTCTTGTAAGCATCTCCGTCTATATTATTGACATGCTCTATAATATCGCACACACACATGACTCTTGCAACCCCCCCCTACCCCAACGGTGATTGAACGTCAGGGACTGACTTGATTCTACTCGACCCGTGCATACGCTTGCGACATGATATTAGGCGGGGAAAGTCAATTCTGTGGACCGGCGTAAGTAGGTGATTAGAGTTTGCCAGACCCACACTACAGACTGCACTTTGAACCAACGTCCATGGTGTTACTTGTGCCTGTTGCATATGTGCTTTAATACCTTACATAGTATATACTATGTCGTGACTAAGGCCTACCAAGATATGTCAGCAAGCAACTGTCCAACACACACACACTCGCGCACACACACACACACACACACACACACACACACACAGAGAGAGCGAGAGCGCGAGAGAGCCAAGGCGCACCTCGGCCCACTTCCCGTGCTTTTACAAACACCATCTGCCCCATTGTTCTGAAACCAAAGTGCTTACCTTGCCCCTGCTCCCGCTTATCTGACATAATATATCACAGCGTAAATGGTGCCGCGTGCAACGAGCCGTACTAGTAGAACCGGCTTCTGTGCCATTTTGGACCAATCGGGACGGCTTGCAAGCCTCTCAAACTCATCCAGTTGCAAAAGAATACATAGGTTGCATGCTACGCTATATAGGTATCTGCGAACAAGAACAGGAACAGGAACAAAACATGAAACGAGTAGTGATATAATCAACGCACCCAGTATAGATGGGACGCAATTTTGGCTTCTAGGTCGTGACGATGCGATTTGCACCGCTTGCAACCACCATCTTCGTCAGTGTATGCAGTGTGCTAGTTTATAGCAGGACCGATGTGGCGCAGCAAATAACGTCACGGGCTTTTGACTGGTTGGATATCGGTGCAAAATTTTAAACAGTCTCGACATAGTTGCTGGCACGAGTTAGCAAAAGCACCAGTCGCATCGCCGAGCTGCACACATACCTTGGGAAAATGCCCTCCCTGTTTCCTATTCGGCCTGTCCACCAATCTGTTTCATTGTCGGTCCGCTTCAGAATCGTGATGATGTCACCCTTCTTAAAGCCCAAATCACCTGGCTGATCGGCGTCGAAGGTGAACTTGGCTATCGTTTGGTCCGATTGCAAGTTTGCCTTTTTCTGCCCGGTTGTCTGCCCAAAGACTGGCTTGGGCGCCGTGGGCCGTCCGGGCTTGCGATCGCTATATGAATAGTCATCACCAAACGTCGAGGAGCGGGTGCGCGAGTCGATGCGGTCAAACGTCTCGTTGGGGTTTGCGCGAGCGGAAAATGAGCGGTTAAGGCCGCCTGGGGCTGAGGAGGGTTGTCTATCATAGACATCATCCGCCCACGATGACGAGTTCTGGGGCCGATCTCTGTACTCGTAATCATCATGCTGGCCCAGGGAGCCGGTGCGGTCCCGTCGCACACCCTCACCCAAGGCAGAGCCGCGGCGACCCTGCCACACAACATTGTCGTGCGCATCGTCGTATACCGGGATATCGTTGTACATGGCGTCATTGGTGACATTCTGGGCACCCCCCACACCGGAAAATACTCTCGAGTTGAGCACGCGCAGGAGCGGCTCTGCGGCGGGCGGCGGGGGGACCTGGCCGCTCAAGATTTCGCGGGCGGTCCAGCGGCGACCGTACAACTTCTCGTTGGCATCTCTTCGCTCGATGATACCGCTGCCCTCCAGACTGACACCGGCAAACAAGCCCTTTGTCTTGCTGTAGCTGAAAATACCCGCTATGCTCTTGAGGCTGGCTGCGCCGGCTGCCTCGGCATTGCGACCCACGGGACCAGCGGCAATGGAGACGTTGCCTCCCAGTGTCAGCGATCCGGCCTGGGCAAATGTTCGTACGGCAGCAGCATCGTTCAGGATGAAGACGAAGTCGGTGAGCTCGAAACCAATCTGTCCACCGAAGCCGCCGCCAATGGTACCGATGGCCGTGGGCGCCGACCACGATCCATCGGCGAGACGAGCGACCACGACGCCCGAGCCGAATCGCGCTGTGCCGAGGAAGCCGGCCTTGAAGACAGTGAGGATGGCGAGGCCCTGCAGTGCAATTCGCGTCAGTATCTCGTGTCGCCTTGGCCTGTTTTGCGCCGTCGTGGGGGGGGGGGCTCGCTGCCTGGCGCGCCTTGTCCAAGCAAGTGCGGAATGGGCGGATTGCAGGAAGAGGCCGGATGCGCTGGGGAGGGACTTTACCTTTGCGTTTGCGAGAACGTTTGGGGGGATGATCTTGTCGGGCCCAAAGGCCTGTTTAGGGTCGACAAAAGACGCCAGGATCTTTCCAGTCTTGCGACATTCGCCTGGGGGAGCAGACGTGTGTCAGCGACGTCACCGGCCAGGCGCCCAATCACGACTTACTGTTCAGCGATGAGGGCAGCGGGTTGTTGAGGCTGAAACCCATGGCGGCGACGGGTGGCGGGCGAGTCTCCGCGGCGGCTATGGAAAGGCTAAGTAGGAGGGCGAGGGAGGGGGAGGGGGAGGGGGAGAGAGGGCAGAGAGAGAGGTTGTTGTGCGGGACAAAAGAGCGTGGCTGCGCCTTAAGCTGGCGGGCAGAGGCAGCGCGGGCAAGCGCGGGGATATCATGTCATAGTGTGGCTGAGCCCGACGCGTCTTACTCACTCTCACGTATACGCCAGAACGACGCCCGCCCGAGGAACACAGCATCGCATCACCTCCATCCAGACGTCCACACAGGCACAACATGTCGCCCGCCCGCGGCCCTTTATCGCCCGCCGCGTCGCCCTCGCCGCTCCACGTCGCTAGCTGCTTCACCTGCACACAGCCTCCAGCCTCGAATAAACTTTGCGGCGGCCGCCCGTGTTGACGCCAAGGCCAGTCTCACAGGCTAGCCACAAGCAACAGGTGCAGCAGCCGCCTTGTCCCGCCGGCCATGCACGTGACCTGTCCGACCACAGCCTGCAACCACGACGATGCCCAAATGGGCGCCCTGAGCCGGATTGGCCCAGGTCACGCACGTCCGGCTTGATTGGGCTTGACAGGCCGCCCCAGTCCCCCTCCCAGTTCCCCGAGAACGAGTCGTGCCTTGCCCCATTGCCATCACTCATCTGCGGGTACCGGGGCGGAGTGCCTTGTTCCCGTCCTCGTTAGACGCATGCCAATCCTACCCCCCCCCTTGGACTGTCGCGGTACGCCACATTGGTCCACGCCCTGTGGCTGGCTAAATCGTGCTATAATACAGGGCACCATTATCGTTACACCATTTGAATAGCGTACCGTGGAATCGCGGCAGCAAACCATCCATGGCGCCGGCCCTGTAACTTGGCCGTAGTTCCCCCTAGTCTGCACATGGCCCTGCTTCTTTGTTCATGACATTTATTCCCCCGGCCCCGCCGCTCCTCGCTCGCCATTGTCTCTGTCCCGCTGGTTGTCTCGTCGTCTTTTCGCCACCATGGAGCTGCAAGACATGCTCGTCAAGTGTCTCAATGTCCCCAGACCGGATCCCGAATGTCCTGCCATGATGCCTCCGCCAGGCGTCCTGCCGCTCGATCCCAACGGTGCCTCGACATGGTCCTTTGGCATGCCAGTCATTGCCGTTTGCCTGATCCTTGTCGGACTGTCCATCATCATCCGCACCTTCACCCGATCCTACGTGCTAAAGGTATTCGCTCTCGAAGATGCCGTCATGCTTCTGGCAACACTTGGCTTCGTCGCCTTTGCCGCCATCGTCCTCGACAGCGCCTCCTTGGGTTTCGGCAAACACCAGTGGAACGTGACGGTTGCCAACGTCCTGCGAGCTCTGCACCGCGCCTATGCCGTTCAGATCATCTACTGCCTGGCCATGTACCTGGCCAAACTCGGCGTGCTGCTTCAACTCAAAGCCACCTTTGACAGCAAGACGAGAGACTTCATGTTCTGGATGTACTGGGTTTGCATCGTGACCTTCACCTGCGCCTACACGGCAAACCTCTTCATCTGGATCTTCCCCTGCATCCCCATCCGGAAGAAGTGGGACCCCTTTATTCCTGGACATTGCAACACCACCATCAAACCCGGCCTTTTGAGCGGCGTCGTCAATCTCGTTACCGATATCCTAATTCTCGTGCTTCCCATTTATGCTGTTTCACGCCTGCACATGAGCTGGAGGAAGAAGGTGTCCATTTGTGGTATATTCGCGTCAGGCCTGCTGTAAGTAATGTCGCTCAGGCCACGTCCCAAATTCAGACTAATGTTTTGCATCAGTGCATGTGCATCCAGCGCATTACGACTCCACTACTCGATCGAACGCCTTGACAGCAAGGACCTTACCTACTGGCTTTCTGTCGTCGCCGTATGCGCCATTCCCGAGATTGCCGCACTCCTCATCTGCGGCGCCTTTCCCACCTTTCCGCTCTTCTTCAAGTTCATCACCCAGGACGTTGGCAAAAAAGCAGGATACATGGTTACCAATTCCGGCAAAGACTCGAGCAACGCGCCCTCCGAAGCCATCATCCTGTCGAAGCGACACAAAGAAGCTATAGATGCTGTTGTATAATGTCCACACTTAATTTGCGTAATAAATCACGGCCTGCATTTCACTTTCCCAAAAGGATTTAATTAATACCGTCTTCAAAGGTGTCGCCAGTCGAGCGGCCCGCTTTCCCAACTATCTTCTCTGAAGATCAGGCACTTTCGACTCCCGTCCTCGTCGGTCCATGCCCGGAACATGCCGCCGCCATTATAATCCTGTACAACGTCGACCTTGTCGCCAACGACTTGGATGCCTATAATTCCTCCCACACCCTCATGGACTCGGTCCCATCGATCGCCGGCGCTTCTTTGGAGCTCACCATTACGTCCAGCCATCCATTCAGTGGCATGACGTAGAGAGCATGAGGTAAATCGAGACTTGGCTGCTGTCGTCCGAGCGGCACATGTGCGAAGGAAGGAGTCGCCATTGCCAGTTCCAGAGAGGCCTACGGCGTGGCGGACTTGCAAAGGTTCTTTGTGTGGCTGGTTTTGTGGAGGTGGGGTCGACTGGGAGGCAACAGAGTTGAGCATGGGCAGACAGCCACCAAGCGCGCCGTACACGTCGCCCCTGGATAGCCTGTCTATTGGCGCCACAGCCGAAACGATAGGGTGGTAGTGCATCTGCGCGGGTGCGGCCCTCTCCGCATGCCACTCTTCTGCCCAGAAGCCGGCCCCAATAGTAGGAGTATCGCCAATGCGCCCAGATACCTTGTTTGTCAGACCTCCAGTAGATGTAGCAGTGCACACGGTGCCAAAGCTGTCGACAACGACAGCGCCACAGGTACCAAGCGGGATATAATTCTGTTTCTCCCATTCGCTCGTCGTGTCTGATTGTGAGTGTGCGCCTCCAACGTCTAGTTGCTTTTGCTCGGCAAGGCCCCGCTGGTGCTCATCCCACCTCTTTTGCGTGAAGAAGTAGCTCTGATGGACCATGTCGAGGCCCCACTCTTGGGCAAGGCGCTCTACAAACTGGCCGCTGTACTGGCAATGGTCACCCGCGCGGCCGCCATCGACGGGCTCGCCCCTGACGAGCAGCTCGCGGGCGAGTTTGATGGGGTTCTTGACATGTCTCAGCAGCATGCAGCCCACGCCACGTTTCCTGTAGCCGTCTGAAACCATGATGCTGCATTCGAGCTCGTTGCTGCCGTCTCGGGTAAACACGGCGCCCTTGGCAGAGTTGTACAAGGGATCGTCTTCCAATAGACTCACGGCGTACGTCGCAACGTCGAGGGCGGTTGCCCCTGACTCGGCGAGCTGGCTGGCCGCTTGATCGACAATGCGGAGAAGCGAGGCTCGATATTCGTCATAGCGATCGCGCGGCACAGACGTACGAGTGATGTTGCCTGCGCCACCGTGAATGATGATTCGCGGAGCCACGCGCTCTCGAGCTCGGGTACCGGGCCCTGCATCAACAAGGCGTTTTTCCGACATGGCGGCCGTGTCTCTGCCAGTAGGTGTGGGCGTGGGTGCAGGGTAGCAGCAGGGTAGCAGTGTAAGGAGGGTTTCTGGGCGCGACAAGAGGGAGCATTTGAGTTTGGAATCGGCGAGGTCTAAAGGACGTGGACACTACCACTACACTAAGAATGGCTGCGGGCAGCGGCAGACGCCGCCCAAGGGACGTCTAGCGCCTTGATTGGCTGGAGATAGCGCGGGGCTCAGGGGAGTCTGGCCCCCGGCCGACGCCCCCCCCCGCTTTGTGGCGCGCCGCTGCACGCGCACGGGCCCTGCACGTGGTCTTGGGCCGTAGTGTGGCGTAGCTGCATACACACTACATGTCTACTATGCTGATGCTACTGCTACAGAGCAAGCCTACTATTACCAACCACTACACCACAAAACTCAGCCTATGGCGCGCGTGAGTCGGGCGCGCCGAGAACGAGCGTTACACGCCCGTTTGCGTCATCCGCAGCCACGGCTAAGGGGTCCACGTCATTCGACATGTTGTCGGCACAGGGCGAACATTTCTTGTTCTTGTTCTTCTGCCCAGGCATTAGTATTATGTAACCACGCTCCCCCCCCCCCAAAAGAAAAGATAGGGGTGACATTTTGTCCAGGCAAAATGTTTAAAAGATAACGTCGCGCCCTGCTAGTAGTCCGGCTCTGGCAACCCCCCCAAAAATAAACCCCAACCCAAAGGTCGATTCTTGATGAACACATGGTACGTGGCAAGTCCAGGTTGCCTGCCCCTCCCTTATCCGTAGTAGTGTAGGTGTTTGGTTGGAGGTGTGCGACTGGAGCTCCGGTAGCCTCAAACCTTCTTACCAACCAATATATATCATTCGGCCGCGCTACTAGTAAATAAGCCGGCTTGGGTTGCAAAAGTTGCTTTGCACAACTCCTTTGTTTTAGCAACCTCCATTTCTGCATCGGTTTTCATCTTTTGCATTTGCCATTTTGTGTTGTTATTTTTTATTTTGTTTTTATTTCCAGAGGGCCTCCTTAGCTAGCGAGGTACCCACAAAACGCCGGTAGCCTAACCGTTCTGCTATGTATATACACTACCGTAACCACAGCGCAGCCCAACCAAGCGGAACACGCAGCATCCGGACGCACCAAACTACCAACCTACGCCATTTCAGAGTTTCCCATGCAAAAGACTATGTAACGTGAGACTACTGCTTACATCTAGCGTCCATCCCCTTTCTCTGCCCCTCCGCCTTGTCTTGAGAAATCCTTGCTTGCTGCACTTTTCGCCGCCCCTCGCTTTCGTATACGCTTTTGCGATCAAGGGCTATTGTAGTGCTGTAGATCGACATGCTACAGCTGCGGATAAGCGCTCACGTCACTTTTCGCTAACTTGGCCATTGCACATGGCATATGGACCCCACTCCTAGGTGTGCCCAACGACTTTTTATGCATGCATTCTACGTCAGAGTCTTTGTACCGCCCAGCCTGGATGACCTTTAGGTTGTCATATAGGGAGCCAGGCTATGAAACAAGCCGTTTTCTGGCGTAATATAACTTTCCACTTCCCCACATCGTCTGGCCACTCGCCTTGCATGGCTTCAGTGCTCAACGCCATGCACTTTCCGAGGACAAAAACTTTGAATATCATCTCGAGACATTTTAACATTTCTGGCACGTAAGAGAGAGACAATACTAATCTGAAATAGGCGCAAAGTCCGGAATGTAGCCGCAATGCAACGTCCCAATCACCACACCCTGTCCAATGTGAGAGTAGGCAAGGTATTGTAGCATAGTAGAGATAATGAATTAAGACAACTCCTTGAAGATTTGCCTACGGTTGAGATGAGACCGTATACGCTCTGCACATGACTGTAACTTCCTTGGCCCAGAGGGTACCCTACAGATCCCCAAGAGGTGACCCCGCTAGGCCTAAGTTGAGAGTATCGTTACAGCATCACTGCAGTAAGCGCCTTGGGAAGGACATCCACCACCGTTGTTGAAGCGGCACGCAGCACGGTAACGTCTTCCATCGGTTGGGTTGCCCTCCCACCACGCACAATCAGCATCCATCCAGGGCGTACTAACGACGCACTATCGTAGAGACTTTTTGGTTAGTATGCCGCAAATTCAATTTCTCTCATATACAAGGAAAAACAAAAAACAAAAAGAAAAGCGAAAACCCCAGCGCAGTGTAGGTAATACTTTTCTGGAAATAACGTACAGTGTTCGTGCTGGAAAGTTGGTCGTAGCACGTTACTCCCCTGAACCTGTTGCAGTACCGTGCTGCAATGACTGGCTGCCTTTTCACTAGGTGCAATCTCTATACATTGGCAGGCGTTGAGGCCTTGCTACGAGAGGTGCACTGGGTCCAAGTCAGTGTGATATCCTAGCATGAACTTGTTACGTAGAAATTACCTAGCAAGCATGCTTGTAAGGAGGATAGAACCCTTCATGTCGAAGATATAGCGAATTGAGTCAAGTTGTGGAAGAATGTATTTGTAGTAGAGATGCAGTAAGAGGCAGTAAAGGAGCTATTGATGTTTTAACACTGAAATCTTATTCCTTGACTTATATACATGCTAGAAGCTCAAGAGTGATGTAGTATGATTACCAACAAGCGGTGAAAGGTAGTTGAGGCTAGACGGAAATGCAACTCAAGCTTAACACTGACCTTTTGGCGATTCTGGCGTCGCTGGCCTCTGCTATGCCTGCTGAAGGCGAAGTTTCCGTCTCAAAGCTAGCGACGAGCCAGGTGCCGTACAGCTGCCAATTCGTGCCAGCAAACGTAGTAGGAAGATGCCGGAATGAGGTTACCGAGCTCAGAAGGCGCGAGCTTAGGGGATGCAATGTCTGGAGTAAGTGTTATGCATCTCGTCCAAGGGGTAACTAATTGCGTGTGATAGATTGCTTAAGTGCTTACATTTCTGTTGCTATTACTTGTGCGGCTGCGATTAATGAGCTGGCTTTGACTAAGTTACTGCTGAGCAAATCCAGAATCTAGATAATACCTCTAGACCCTATTGCCGACCTTACCTGTCTTGCAGCTGTGCTCAAGTTCAAAGGTGCATATCAGGGTTGCGACCCTTGAGACGAAGAGAGCTTAGGGCTTGGACATAGTGCTACTCGGGTTTAGATGCTTATATTTCTCTTATTCTGATCATGGTTACGGCGAGTAGAAATGGGTGTAAGCTCTATGAGTAGTCACCTAGCGATGTAGTGTTTGTTAGAATACCTAGGTTAAGAATAACTAATCTTTATTGCCATAGACGAACGAGCAATAACATGAGTGAATAGCGAGTGGAACAGCTCAGCGGGTAGTCCGCCCTAATAACGTCCCAGAGCTTCTTTATGTAATTACTCAAAACTGTAATCTTATACAACAGATACTGGCTCCTGACAAAAGCAACTCAGACATCAATATCTTCAAACAAACGAAAAAACGCTTGGTTTTTTCCATTTTTTTTCCGAAGCCGATGTGCTATTTGGATGCTAGACAAATCAGTTCCAATAGTCAAGCCTTGCAATTCTCCAGGAAATGTATCGTGGAAGTATAGTTAGGTCTGCCATCTCTCTTTTATAATAAATCCATTTTTTTTCGAATCGCATCGTAAGTAAATATTTAACTTGTTGCGTTCTCCAGACCATCCGCGTCGAGTAGTCGCAGTTCCCTGTCACTTCCTAGAGGATTGACATCCAACTCCATAACCAGGTTTTAAGAATGCAGAAAACGTGTTCGATATGTAAATCATGTGTGTACGTAGGTATTCGACATATACAATCGTACGTGGGTCTCTCTCCTCTCGTATGTAATATTCTCCTAGCCCCAATAGTCATAGCCCCTTACACTAATACTTTTACTCAAAATAATTGCCCATTATATGTACCTTCTCACAATCTTTACAGCCGCTATTATGTTAAAGCATACCAATATCATTTTATCAGAGTCAATTTATATGCCAAGACACTTATCTATATATGTTTCTTAACAACATTGTTCCTTTGATTGTTAGAATATAACAGCTATCCTTTTCAGAATACGTGTCTTGAATAAAACCTTCACAGAATTATCAGTGTAATGAGGCTATTCTGTAAGCTTAGACTATCTGATTGCATCGTCATGTCCAAAAAGTATGCCTTTGAAATCAATAGAATGTAGATCATATGCAGCGTTAGGCAAGGGAGAGACCTCGCCCTTGGGCGAAATGTAAGCAGAAAATTGGAACCTTCCCATTAGACTGGTAAGTAGGTATGAGTGGGCCAGGGCCAGGGCTACTAAGAAGTAGGTAGCGGTTAGGTAGGGGTGATATGTAAACAAACAACCTTAAACCTTCTACCTGCATTTTAGCACCTAGATCATGTAATGTTTATATCAGAGAAGTCAATAGGTAATAAGAACCTAAAATTAGATGAAGTTGAAGTAGATACATATGACTTAATAATCGCTTGCCAGAAGTTTCAATTCCGTCCCATAATCATCCATGCCATTATTCGGGTATTGAATCGCCTAGGCTTGCACTACATGAATTTACAGAGCATACATTTTGCAGTGGCCATGACCTAATTAATGTGATTCGACATTGGCTGATGTAACCTGGAATAAGATTTCCACAGCGGTTCGAGTTCTCACAAGCCCGTTACTAAGCTAAGTATCAGCCGGATCTTATTTATATAGCCCAATCAGTCCCTCCAATTCCTCGGCAATGGCTCTAAAGGCCTTGGCATGGTCTCCGTCTGGCTCCGATACGACGGTCGGTTTACCATAATTTGCATTATCACCGATGCTGCTGTGTAACGGGATCTCGCCTAGCATGTTCAAGTCATACTTGCTACACATGGCCCTGATATTCGTCATGCTTCCAAAAACCTCATGGAAGCCTCCGCATCCTGGACATTTGAAGCCTGCCATGTTGCATACGAGGCCCAGCAACTTGACGTCGACTTTTTGAAAGAGCTCAACGCCTTTTGCCGCGTCTTTGAGTGATAGGTCTTGCGGCGTAGAGACGATGAGAGCGCCGTCTAAGATTAGCTGTTGTGTAATTGTGAGCTGGACGTCTCCAGTCCCGGGTGGCATGTCAAGGACAAGAATGTCCAGACCTCCCCACTCCACTTCATGGAGCAATTGCTGCATGGCTTTCATTACCATGAGGCCCCGCCATGCTACGGGCGAAGACTCGGGAATCAGATAACCCATAGACATGGATTTGAGACCATAATTGGATAGTGGTAGCAATTGGTTGTCTGGTTGGTCATGTCAGGGCGTGTTGACGTGTTTGGGCGCGTTGCAGACTGACTAGCAGATAGTCGAGGCTCGCCAGATAGATTAAGCAGAGTTGGTATCGATGGACCAAATATATCTGTATCCAGAATGCCAGCCCTGTAGCCACGTCGCGCAAAGCTCAAGGCCAGATTTACTAATCCATGCTTTCAGCGTTCCGCCCTTGACCCAGGCGTGCATGTTGGTTTGGTCGGCATACCGGCAATGGTACTTTTTCCAACGCCACCCTTGGCTGATGAAACGGCAATGACCTTTTTCACGTCTTTGATGCTTCTCTTCTGTGGCAATCCTCGCTGCATCCGAGGCATTTGCGGCGGCGCGCCGGAGCGCGGAAGGCCCTGCGCCAGACATCAGCCGTTGCGCCTAATTGCCTTGTATTGACACGTACGAGAGGGTTCTCATGCTGTAGACGCCTCAATGTTGAGAATAATCTTGGCTTCAGCATGACTTCGGAGATGAGACAAGAGTTGCGGAGTTGGTGACGGAGGTGACGCGCATCGGCGAAATGAAAGGCCGACATCTTCGACTTTTTTGTGGGGCACAAAGTGAACTTTCTCTTCGCCTGCGCATGCCTCCAACAAGGCCACAACGCAACGCATACAGCATGAAGAAGTCTAAGATTAGAGGTATGGACACACAAACAATGTGCGACAGCAAAATTGGCTAACACGGATATTAGATTTTGACCCCGAGTCCCTGCTCGACCCTGCGCCCAGCTCCAGCGAGGACGAGCGTTCCGGTAGCGATATCTCAGACGTTGAAGATGACCAGGCGGGGCGTGAGCACTACACGGCCGTAGGCAAGAGCAAGCTACGAAAGCCGGTAGAGGTGCCCCTCGGTCCAGAGTATACCGGGCGCAAAGTGGACCGCAAAGCCCTTGAGGATAGCGACAGCGACGATCCTTTCGCTAGGGGTTTCGACGAACAAGATAGCGAAGCTAGCGATGAGGATGGAGACGGGGACATCAACGGAATGGGATCGGGTGGTGAAGAAGAGAGTGGTGAGAGCGGAGAGAGCGGCTCTGAGGGCGACTCCGATGAAGATATGAGCGACGATGACGATGAGATGGGAAGCGCTGCCGAAGGTGCAAGCGACGAGGAAGACGACGACGGTTCTGAAGCTTCAGAGGACGAGGAGTCTGGCAGAGGCTCTAAGCCAGATGTGTCTACTGTGCGCGACCTCATGGCCGCCAGCAAATCCTTCACCTCGACAATCGCCGCGGGGACACAGTCCGATGTCGCAAAGGGAGAAGCCGTCAAGACACAGCGCAAGACATTTGACACTCTGCTCAATTCGCGCATCCGACTGCAAAAGGCTCTCATCAGTACCAACTCCATGGCCGCGGAACCTTACAAGAATGAGCAGGCTCAAGAAGCGCCCGTCGAGGCAGCAGAAGCCGCCGCGCTGACGTTGCTGAACAACCTGACCAACCTCCGGCTATCTTTGGAAGAGTCACGAACTGGTCAAAAGAGGAAGCGCACAACATTCGATTCTACCACTCCATCCTCCGAAATTTGGTCCACTATTCAGGATACCGAACAGAGCACCTTGCCGCACCGCAAAGCCGTTCTCGAACGGTGGTCAAATAAGACGAAGGCCACGACTGTAACCAACAACCAGGCTCGTCTCAATGCTTCCGCGCAGCAAACGCTCACCGAGGTCCTTGATTCGCAACTTACGTCGTCGCATCTTGTCACTCGCACACAAACGCCTCGCTCGTGCGCACCCCTGCAGTCCTCTAACAAAGGAGCGCAGCCCGACCCCAGCATCTATGACGATGCTGATTTCTACGGCCTAATGCTCAAAGAGCTTCTCGAGCAGCGCTCTGCCGACCTCAATGCGAACGGAACTGCTGAATTTGTTGTACAAGCGCCGTGGCAGGTTGCTCGCGAAGCCAAGACTAAGAAAGTCGTCGACACCAAGGCGAGCAAGGGGCGGAAGCTTCGATACACGGTGCAAGAGAAGATACAGAATTTCATGGCTCCGGAAGATCGGGGCCAATGGGGCGATAGACAGAGGGATGAACTTTTCAGCAGTTTGTTCGGACAAAGGCTGGGACTCGGAGAACATGATGAGGTTGCGAGTGAAGACGAGGGTGGAGTTGATGCCGAAGAGGCAGGCCTCATGCTGTTCAGGAGCCAGGGCTGATTCCGTCGCTTGAGGATTATATACAGTCTTCAGCTGGTAGTAAAATACACTTTTATATGTGGTCCAATCGGGCTGGTCTCAGGTCGTTGCAATGTTGAAAAAATCAACCCAGTGCAAATACTTCTCTTGATTCTGCCATAAAAAACATTGTGCTCGCTGCATATCAGCACATGTTGAACCCAGACCACATTCGTCAAACGAAGTGGCAGTAGAGATTATATGCAGTCAAGCAACATGGGCATGCATGGAGATTGGCTCATCGACTTCGTCATGTAGGAGCTTCCGCATTACTTACATACAGTCATATCAATACATCCAGAATCCGGCACAACTGGGTTACGCCTCCTTGATCAATTTGCGTGTTGCACTCTCCATCCATAGCTTTGTGTACACACGGTGTGCAAACTGGAGAAATGCTGGCTGTGGCTCGGAGCCCTTGCCCTCTGGCGTTGTGTCTACGAAAACCGACTTGAGGTGGAACGTGGCAATCTGAGCCTCGTCGTCCTTGGAGACTTCCATGGAGAAGAGGCCGTCCGAAGGTCGGTGGTCACGGTTTAGCGGAGAGTCGCCGCAGCGCACAACAACCTAGTAGCACACTCATCAGCCACTGCTTTTCAATGCATGTATGCATGTACAATTCAAAGCACATACCCTGTTATCGGTATGTTCCACCACTTCAAAATGGTCAACAATCTTAGTCCCAACTTGGTACGGGCTCTTCTCCATCTCCTTGACATCCCAGAGCTGGTCTTGCCTGCCGTCTAGCGCGCGATACCATTTCTCCAGCAGTCTCCGCTGCACTCGGAACGCAACCCCGCTCCAGATGCCCCTGCAAAAGTCCGTCGTGAGCGCTCTCTGGTCCACCGATATGCTTCCCGCAGTGCCCTTGACCCAGTACTTTTGCGGCAGCTTTCCATACGGAATCTGCTTGGTGGCGTGGTCTATGCAGACGGGCGGGTTGCTGAGCGGATTGTGCTCGCGGAACACTTTGGCCGTGAGGTCTGGCGACGAGGTGTCGAAGGGTACGAATTTGGTGTTGCGCGTGTAAAACGAAGACACGCCGTATGCGAGCACGGCATTTGCGCCCAGGCCGCCTGTTATGCCTATGAGAATGCCGAAGAAGCGCTTGGGGCCCGAAAGACGTTTTATTTGCGGGGGCGGAGAAATGGTGTTCATGGTGAAGGTTTCGAGGGTCGCAGCAGGTGCTGGATGGGAGATTGGGTGCTCCTGAGGTCAATTGGGGCCAGGAATGCGGATATCGGGCGGCGACGGTGGATTTACGTCGCGGCACGGTGGATTATGGCTATGTCGCTCGTGTCGAGGTTCAGTCGGAAGATTGTGTTTGGGGAGCTTGGACCTCCAGTTCGCGGAAGCGTGGTTTTGGGCATGCCGAAGCCTTGTCGGTATCTGTTCTTCGCTTCAAACACCGACATCGTGTCGCTGATAGCGCTCTTGCATCGCTCGTTGTTATCGGCCTCATCGGCATCAAATCAAGCATGGTTTGTGTTCAGTAACGGGCTACTACTTTCTAGTTCTCTAGTGTTAATGCGCAAGCGCGATACTAGTAGAGGCGCAATCCGTGTCGCGCATCTTCTTGCCGTCTCCGTCCATGCCGACTTTATTCATCGCGCCGCCCAAATCCGTCATAGAGAAATGTCGATTCACAGCACCAATGGCCAGTTCCATCGCCTCATGCAAATGTCTTGCTCGGATCAGCCTGGCCGTCTTCTTTGTCCAACCTCTCTGTTCGCGCCGCTGCCTAAGTGGGCCTTGTATAGCGTGAAACCAAGGGAATATTCGCCAGTCTGTCCGGAACCGTGACTGGCTGTCAGTTTTGTATCAAAGGCCGATTGTTTGGGAAGAGATGGTCAAAGAGCAACTCCATGTCTGAGCGCGACGACACTGATTCGCCGGCTGGCACCTCCATTCTTGGTTGGAAATTCGGCCCTTTCCCCCCTTATGATGACCCTTTCGGGTTCCAATAAATCTCGCCAGCTTGAGGATTGACGGCCACACCAACACACGACCGTGACTGACGTTCGATATCGGATGTGGCAGGACCGCCTGTTTGGACGAGCATCTTATGGTTGCTGCCGTTGAGGTTATGTCTTTGCACCCTCATGTCCTCACGGTCGCAGTCTAGATCTTCATGTTCCCGTGCACGAAGCGCTTGGTCAAATTTGTCGAGCATAATGTTATCGATGACTGCAGCCAGGAAATGAGAGTTCTTATTACATATGGTACAAGTCAAGTCAGTATCCCCATACTACTGTGGCCTCACATAGCCTCTTTACCCTAAAAGTCTAAGACATTATGCCTGGCATCGAAAGAAGTCTGAAAAAGTTGGAAATGAACATATGAAATTATCAAAAGACGAATATCTCGTCTTGGGGTTTCGAGATTGAGCCTGTTGATTGATATTAGCAGATGCCTGAGAGTTGGAGAAATCCAGTCATGTCGTACCTGGTGCTTTGAAGCCACGTTCTTGCAGATGCATAGACATCGACTCTACCATTGGGTCGGGACCACAGAGAAATACCTTGCTGTCAGCACCAGCTGGAGCGGGCATGTGTTACTCGATCAATTGCTTGCTAATGCGACCTTTCTCGCCCTGCCAACTTGACGAAGGGTTGCTCAGGATGTAGTGTACTTTGAACTGCTCATTTTCTTGGGTAAACTTGTCAAGTTGATCTTTAAGCAAAATATCGTCTTCCGTCTTGTTGGCGTAGAGTAGCGTCACCTTGGTATTGTCGCGAGGGTCTTCGCAGATGCGTCGGATAATTTGCAGCATGGGTGTGATGCCAGTGCCGCCGGCGATCATTCCAAGCTCCTTGACCAGGTTCTTGTGGTACTTCATCTCGCCCTTGGGACCTCGAATTTCGACCATGTCTCCAATATTCAGCTTGTTTAACCAAGGCGTGAGCTTTCCTCCTTCGTATATCTTGATGGTCAATTCTAGTCGGCCCAGGTCCTTGTTGCTGGATGTCGGTGTGTATGATCGAGTGATCTGCTTGCCGTCGGCCTCGTGTCTGATTGCCACATGCTGGCCGGTTGGCAGCCCAAGGATGGAGTTTTTACTGGGCAGGCCAAATACAAGTCGGACGGTGTCGTGCGAAATATTGGCCTTCTCTATGAGAGGGAAAGGCTGGTAGATGCGCGCGTTCAGGACACCAAGATTGATGTCCTTCTTTCTGGAAGGCCTCGACGAGGTAGACTTTGCCCTGAAATGCGCAGGATACGCTCGGAGATCCATGTGCGCAACATCGAGGCGTTTGGCGGCCCACATGCTAGCATATCCGGCTATGACCATGCTGGCAATGGAAGAAACTGCGAATCCCTTCCAAAATCCGCTACTTTGGAGATGATGCAAGTACGGAGAGACTTTCCGGCCATAGGCAAACGACAGAACAATCGAGGCCAACCCGAAGCCCATGGCTGGCAAGTTGGTCAGACTGACTTTTGGCGGGGGTAGTCTGTCCACTATACGGGCTCTACGGGGCTTGATGGTCGGCATCTTGTTTGCCTCGTGGTCTGTCCAGTCGTCGTCGGCAAGGCGCCCAATCCGGAAGTTCTCAAGAATCTCTCTTGCGTCGGTGGAATGGCCAATGTCTTCATAGGCGGTTGTCGCGTCCGCACCAGCGTTTTCGAGGAGGAATTCCTTGCCGCCGGGGTGGTCTTCCTGGTAGTCGGTCACATCGTAGACGTAGTTCCACAGCGTGACCCAGAGGTCCGTCTTGCTGTTGTGCTTGGCTACCTCTGCGAGGGAGTAGACACAGTCGGCCATTTGGTCAGAGGGAGACGTGCAAGGCGATGGCTGTGGTCGTCAGAGGCGGGCTGCGACGACAAGAGCGCTTTTGCTCGACCGGCGCCCCGCTCGCCACGGCGGCCTCGTGCGATGCATGTGCAACGGCCATTGCGATCCACCGTGTGCGTGTACGTGCGGCCAAAGCACAGGACAAAGTTGCTGGTCTGTGAAAATTCAAAGGTCGCAGGACGCCGATCGGGGTGGAGCTGTCTAGGCCCACATGCCGAGGCTGTTGGAAGCTACAGCCAATCACAGGCGACACGGCCATCGGAGCGTGCATCGCAGCATCACCCTTATCCTAGCGTCGCCACAACCCATCGCAGACGCCCCTGGCCTCCTCCAAATTTGCTGGCCTGCACAAAAAAGCGCTCGGCCGGACTGCTCGCACGACCTGCATCACAACTACGCTTTTCGTCCCAGATGCCTCGGTACATGGCTCCCAAGACACCAAATGATGTATTGGCAAGGTGCCCATGCCCCGTACCATCGGCCGGGCTGCCATACTTGGCCGATGATACGGGCGTATCTTCTGGAGGCTGTCGCCGCTCAAGGGGAAGGGTAAATTCCTGTGCTTCGCCTTCATCTCCCTCCAGCGCTGGGCGAGCCTGCAGTCTCACACCATACAGTAAAGCCGCACGCCATGACAGTCAAAGGCTTCTACCTTCTTGGACAGGACAAAAGCGTCTACCACCAAGACATCCAAATCGATCAATGCCATGACTTTGCGTCTCTGCAGATTACCATAGCGGAACACTACAACATCATCCAATCGACTGGTAATACATATGTTATCCACTCATCACAGTCGCTCGCCTGGACATCGGCTAAATTCTGATCCAGGTATCGCATTACAAGACGCCAATGGAAACGACCTACCAGACTTGGACGACGTCCTTGACTGCGAAGAAGATCTTGGAATCACAGTCGACGGTCAAGCCATTCGCGACCCTGCTGGTCCTACAGGACTTCCTTTTGTAGGCAGCTACTATGAAGTCTTTCCCGATCATCTTGTGAGCCATTCCCGCCGGTGCTTGCTTGTGCTACTGCTAATGCTTGCAAGGGCAATCATGCTCGATTCTTCCAGAAATACGGACCCATCATCAAGTACGAATCATTGGGCAAAGTGAACTACTTGACAAATGACCCCGCCATCGCCACTGTCGCCTTCCAAGAGTCTGCTTTTTTCAGCAAGCTCATCACTCCAGATCATCCTTTGGCCGGCATCAAAGACAACAGGCCATTGTTTGTATCCGACACCGACACCGACGCATGGAGGCAGTCGCACAAGTTCATCCCCCCTGCCATGGCACCAAAGGCGGTTCGACACTACACACCTCTAATGGAGGCTTGCGTAAAGGACTCTTTCAAGGTCTTTGACAAGCTCGATGAAGATGGCGAGGCTTGGAATGTGTACCAGTACATGCTGAAGCTCGCTTCTCAAACCGTCTTCAAATTTGCCCTCGGCTATGACGCACATCATTTCGACAACCCGGATTCACCCCTGAATCGATTAGTGATGTTGATCGCATATTCACTCTCCCTCAACAAGAAGGTCATGTCGCGCGGCGAATGGTATTCCAAGTTGAGCGTGGTACCCTTTACCGACCCTTGGTATCTAAACCAAATCCGACACAAACTATGGGAAATCATCAACAATGCAATTGACGAAGCGCCCAAGGGAGACACCGAAGACGATCTTCCTCTGCACTCAGCTGCGCTAGGAGCAAGCTGCGTGGTAGACTATCTCAAGCGCGCTACCGATGACCAAGGCAACAAACTGCCAAAAGACCTTGTCATTCCCAACATGCTCATTATCGCCGGTGCTGGCTTCACAACGACCTCGTCACTTCTCTCGTGGCTAATATATTCGCTGTGTGTGTACGAGGGTAACCAGGACCGGCTGTTGCAAGAGCTTGTCGATGCTGGAGTTAGCGAAGACACCAAGTGGACGCCTGAACTGTCCGACGGCCTTACCTTCCTCGACAGGTTTGTAAAGGAGACTCAACGTCTGCACAACCCATCTTTCCAACCAGGGCGCACGGCCCTGGTCGACTGTATTCTGCCTGGCGGTTATAAGCTGCCTGCTGGATCTGTCGTCATCTGTGCGCTACATGCCATTCACAACAACCCGAAGATCTGGTCCAACCCCGAGCGCTTTGATCCTGACCGCTGGGGAACTGAAGCAGTGGCCAATCGGCCAAAGAACTCCTACATCCCTTTTGCGACTGGTCCGCGCAGCTGCATCGGCTTCAACTTTGCTCTTGGCGAAGCAAAGGTGATTTTAGCAGAACTGGTATACCGATACGAATTCTTCAAGGAGGGTGACGAGGCTGTCACATACGATCCTGAGTTCCAGCTTATCCGCCCAATGAACTTGTACGTTCGTGCGAAGAAGCGAACAACATGGCCAAAGCCTAGCCCGGGTGCAGTGAAGATTGCCCAAGATTACGCGCCAGGCGAGGTGAGGCCCCCAATTTAATCGTATTGTAAACACTATAGATATGTAATTCGTAATTTCTTCGCAAGAGATCAACATGTATGCGGAATTAGAAGCAGGCGTCATAGGAGCGGAATGTGTAGATCTTGGTTTCAAATGGTAGATCGAACCCAGAGAATGTACAATAGTGTGTAAAGTAACAAATCCCTCTCAAAGAGTGGATCAAATCTCTCATGATTGTAAGTTTGAGTAAAGACCACAAAACGCTATGGTGGATTTCGTAGACTGGGACAATTACGCTGTGCGAGGTTTGTATGCAATTTGTACTTATCATTGCCACTGGGGCTACCTGTAAGATATATAATAACAACACCTGTACTATTTTGCAAGCAAACTGACATTTAAACAAGACAAAAAGAGGGCTAGTATGCTAGAGGAAGAAGAAAAGTATATGCATCATACAACGGCTACTCTCAGGCACTTTTGCGCCATCTATGCAGCACTAATGCAGGATATATGTAACAGTTGGAGAAGATGCATTTATATCAATGCCAACCTTGAAATGAATGTCACCTTCCCCTTGAATCCAATGTAAGAGCCCCGTTCCTGAAGAAAGTCTACGATTTGCTTCCACCACCTTGAGCGTCAGTGACCGCCGTGCAGAATGAAAACCACTTCTTTGACTTTCAAAAGCCGTATGCTGCATTAAACGGTCTTTAAGAGAACAGTAACAACCTGTTCTCCAGAAATAACGGGTTCTTTTCATGATGGAATAGATCCTGGTTCGCATCACATGCTGTAGCGTGGACATTGATATCCGATACTTCATGCTATACCCTCGTGCACGTTCGTAAAACTCTCGTCTAGACTAGTATGTAACCAGCTCGCTCGTTAGTGTATACTTTGGCTAAGGTAGCAAGATCGAAGCAATATTTAAGGAAGCAATTTAAATAAATTTGATACTGTGGGGCCATAGCTTAGATACATGAAGTTTTATATGAGGTAAGTAGTTATTTGAAAATTGGTCTTGGCAAGAATCCATACAATTCCAAGCATGCAGCTGTGCGATATCATCTGGGTGGCTCATCTTGCGACAACAGTGACGCAGTTCTGTAGCTTCATTAGTATTTGATATGCAAGAGTGGAATCCGAACCTAGTATTCACTTACGCCCTGGGTATCGCAGTTGCCAGTAGTCAGGATTCCAGCAGACTTACATGCGCATGAGTCGCTATTACCGATGCATGGGCCACCAGCTGCAATACCCGATCCTGTGCATGTAATGATTTCGCGTATAGCTGTTGTGCAGCCGGAAAAGAATAAGAGGCTGAAAATGCCGGTAGCGAAAATAGAGCTGGTCTTGAGTTGCATTTTGAAGAATTGATCGAGTCGAGAATGTCGATGGAGAATGTAAAATCTGAGAGTGAGGAAGTGCGGTATTGCTGGGTTTCGTGATGTTCAAACAGCACCAGACATACTACCTGGTAGTATTTATACTCATTCTTCGGCTGTGCTGTTTCTATACACTACGGAATAGGGCCCCACCGGACTACAGTGTCGCTGTGATACCGCCGGAAATTTTCCTAGTATAGCCCATCACGTGACGTGCATCATTGGGATCTTTAACCCAAGCAACCGGCATTTTCCTTGATGTACAGGATCGGTGACAATGGCCATCGAAAATAGAATCCCGCAACAGGTTAGTCTTGGACCGGATGTCCAGAGGGCGCATGGTTTTGCCCGGAACTCCGTTCAGTTTATTGGACTAGCGCATCGCCACGATAACATAAATACCTTAAATGCTTGATTCACTACAAAACCGGAAACAGATAAAATCATTCCACGGCTTCTCCGGTTATTTGTGGTATTTCTTGCGAATGTAGCAAATCTCCGTACCATGCCAGATGGCTTCAACATTGCAACTGTTGTTGCGCCCGACTAGCGTGGCGAATGGGTCTCCACCTGTCAGACTGTGAGGGGTTTCTGATCAAGGACTTGTTTTTTAGGTTACTGTGATAAAAGACTGTGATAAACTTAAGTATAGAAACTAAGTGTATTAAGTTGTTCTGTGTCCTCTAGCTGCGCGCACGCGCGCAGCCTTATAAGTGCTATTACCATTGCTTTTTCTGTCTTAGATACGCGGCTGAGTGTCAGCCTCGCCTAGGTATAATTCTTGGCACTCGGCTCTAATTGGCCCGAGTCACAGAATCCGGGTGCTCGATCACACCTGGATCCTATCAGTTATCTGACACACCCCCTTAGCTTGGACCTTGACAGGGCTGCAAGCTGAATCCTATTATCTACCTAGATTGCAAGACGCTCAATTTGCTCCTGGATCTCAAGCAATGCCACTCTTCGGGCTGCTTCTTGAGTCCTACTTTCTACTATTCCTAGTTAAGTCAGAAATCGCTGCCACTGGTTTAATGGGAGAGCTTTGGTGAGTCTGTCTGCTGTCATCTCTGATGATTGGGTGTAGGTGACAGTAATCCGCCTACTGGCGACTTCTTGTCTTAACTAGTAGTTATGGATATCCACATGTTAAAGCTTAGTCTAGAGTCTTGATATCTTCTGCGTGACTAGTTGGATAGTTTATTGATTATTGCACTAGATGTTGATCTAATCTAGTAGGTTAATCTTAAGCTCTTTAATTAGTTTTGATGTGAAAATAGCTTCCTTTGCTGCTTGTGATAGAGCCAACAGCTCGGCTTCGGTGGTGGACGTAGTGACTGTATCTTGCTTGTTTGCTTGCCAGGCAATTAGACCGCTAAATAGCTTGATCGTGTAGCCTTAAGAGCTCTTATGGTCTATTGTATTATTAGCAAAGGATGCGTCACTAGCCACTTGCATAGAGCTGCCTGATCTTAACTGCAGCGCTAGGTGCTTAGTTTCTTCAAGATAGAGTAATACTCGGTCTGCAGCTTTCTGGTGTTCTTGGCTGGGGTTTAAAAGAAATCTAGCAAGGCGGGACGTTGCAAAGGCAATATCTGGCCAAGTATTAACAGCTGCGTAAAGTAGGGATCTAATCTTGCGTTGATACTTGTTAATTTCTAGTGGAGTAGCTAGCCCATCTCGTGGCTTTAGCTCAGCACTGCCTATTGGTGTATCATGTTGGACAGTCCAATCTTTAGCTAGCTAGCTAATCTTTTCGCAGTAGGCGCTTTAGGATAGGTGGATAAGTCGACTATCTCAATCTCTCCTTACTTTAATCCCAAGAAACCACCTAATACTCTCTCCACTAGTTATTAAGTAAGTTTTCTTAAGATCTTCTACTAGCGTGCTAGCCTTCTGCTGTTGGTCTAGGTTGTAGGCTAGGTTAAAATCGTCCACATAGAAGAAGATCAGAATATTGTCCTTAATTATGCAGCATGGCTTATAAGGTATAGTCTAGAACCTAAGCTTAGTAAGCGTTGCTGTAAAGTCTTGTTGCTATAACGCTGGCGATATTTAGAGCCCATAGAGTGCCTTTTGGAGCTTAAGTGCCGTCCCTAGCTTCTAATATCTATAGGGCATACGCATGTACACTTCTCTGTCGAGTCGGGCGTGGACAAAGGCGTTAGTAACGTTGAATTGCTTAACTTTAAGGTCGTACTTGGCCGCAATTGCTATAAAGAGACGGAAAGATCGTCTAGCTAGAGTAGCAGCGTAGGTGTCCTGAGACGTGATATTCCGCTGCTGGTCGCCTCTAACCACTAGTCGTGCCTTGCACTTAAGAAACTAGTTTTCTTAATTGAATTTGTAGGTAAATACCCACATGTAGTCTAGGATTTAATGTCTGCTTGCCTTGACTGCTTTGTATAGTACTTCTACCTACGAGTTGGTGATCTTATAGCTGTCTAGATAAGCGCGTTAGGCTTCTTTAAATAGCTCGCCTATTAGGTGCTCGTCTAGGTTTGATCTAGCTGTTGGCGGCTTAGGGAGTTGAGGTTGATGGATTTTGACTCCTTTGGCGAGTAGCCGTCGCAGCTGCGCCTTGTCGATAGCGCCTCCATTGTAATCTCCAATGCTTCCAGCGTCTGTTCCAGCCATGAAAGCTGCGGCCCATGGGACTGTTTTGGATGATCGGATTTCCGGAGCAGCTGCTGCCTTTCCACTCATAAGCTGAGCCAGCAGTGTTACTGGTGGTGGTGTGGCCGGCGGCGTTGGATAGTGCTCCTGAATCTTCCTTCCCATGTAGTAGCCTGGTGGATCTTCTGATTCGTTGATCTCTTCTATCGTATTGATGGTGTCGTCTTCGTGAAACGACTCCGTCCTAGTGTCTGGGATCGGTGGTGGGAGCTCGATAGTCCTAACGTATGCTGCAATCTCTGATAGAGTGCTGTGCGTAAGGCTATCTATTAGGTCTTTGGTTTTTCTATTAAATATTGTATTTTCGTTGAAGATTACGTCTCTAGTGCTAATGACTTTAGCCAGCGATAGAATCTAGATCCAATAGATCGTCGACGCCTGGTAGCCAACTAGGTAGCCAATCTAAGCTTTGGGATCAAGCCTCTGTAGTCTTGATTTTCCGCGGTGTGTATTATCAGTCATTGCGAACGCTTTACACCCATATGCCTTAAGGTAAGCCACTCTTGGCTTCTTAGATGTAGCTATCCCATTTGTTTAGGATGCATAGGTGAAGAAGACTTCGTACGGCGTCTTCCATTAATTGACGTAGTTTGGCGTTTGGTTGTATAGGTACACTGCGGCCCGAGTGATCTCTGGCCAAAGCTCCCATGGTAGATTGGCGTCTAGCCGCATTACGCGCGCCTTCTCCTTATTTACACTCCCTAAGCGTTTAGCGCTACTATTTTATGCTTAAGTGTCTAGTGCTAAGGGCTTAGCAGCAATCCCCTAGGCTTAGAGCTAGCGCATTACTTCAGGTTTGACAGTCGCGATCTCGTTGTCCGTCTTAACGACTTTTGGCGTGATATTGTATTAAGTTTAGAGGAATTTAACAAAGTTAGTGAGTATCTTAATAATCAATTTAGCTATTTAATTGTCTTTAAGATAGAAATCCTATTAAAATCTTGAGTATTTGTCTGTGATTAATAGCTGTGATAATTCCTTGTTATAGAACTGTTTCTTATAGCTATAGAAATTAATTATTATTCTTTTACTAGGTCCTTGATTATTTGTCTAAGGAGCGCGGCTTATCTATCTGCGGATTTTTGCTCTTCTACATGAATTGCACTTTACTATTGTAATGCCCTTAATCCTCACCCCCTAAGCTTGCTACACGAGATGTTCTATGGCTGCTGGGCCTAAGTGACCTAGACGCTTGTGCTAGAGTATCGCAGTTGCTCGCTAAGGTGGTTTCTTAGTGCTTAAGGTATGCTTGTAGGTGTAGAGTGCTTAGTGATTTAGTTAGGCATAGAATCTAGGTGTGTTAAGCACCTAGATTTTATAGGTATTAAGTACCCACTAGCTAAAACGCTCTAAGAGCTCGCAGATTGTCGTTCTGTCGAGTCTCTTAAGGGCTATAGGCTCTGATTTAGTGTCCTACTATATTCCTATTTGCTAGAGTTTCTAGAAAGAGACAAGGTTGTATAGTAGATTTAGGCATATTGCCACATTTTTAAGTACAAGCTTCCTAGGCCTCTATTTATGTGTAAGGTTGAGTATTATCGTGCTATATCCTATAATCCATATCTAACTATTGCCTGCCTATACAAAATCTCTATTATTTGGTGGCTTGTAGTAGTGTATTTGGTTAGGGTTATTAGTAATATAACACGTTGTCCCCAAATCGAGTATGAACGAGTGACGCAGAGGGTAGTCCGCTCGGCTTGATACAAAGGCTGCAGCGAATACTGCCTTAATCTAGGTTATCTGTCTACCATTTAGTCACTAATCTTCGATTTCTAGTTAGGGAGTTTAAGATTGCTTATAGGTTTAAGATCTTATTCTTGGCCAACTTTAGGCTCTTATAAGACTCTAAAACTCAAGGTTATTTTCCTTTTTACGTTTAATTAAATTTTAAATAATCTAATTTAGCTTCTACTAACTAGGTGCCTTCTTCTAATCTAAGTAGAAGCACTAGTAAAGTGAGTGGCTCCCGTCGCACGCGGGACAGGGAGCTGTGATTTTTCGAGCTCTGGTGCTTCCTTGAGACGGTGATCTAACCTTGGTGCTTGCTAGTTTACTTGGCGCGGGTCTAGCGCTATCTAGGGACTGTGATCTGGCGCTAGCGCTTACTAGTCTACCACGACTTTGATAATTTAATGAGCTGGGTGAGGGATCCTAGTTATCCTCAGCTGTACGTTGATAAAGGGGTCTGCCCCGTTTACGACTCTGAGAGTTCCCCATAGTAGCCTGCTGGGCGTCCCCTTCTGGCTAGGTAGATTGGTGATTACTAGCGAGGTATGACGATTCCTCCATCATAAAGGCTGCCTTCTGGCTTCTTCCTCTTGTGACTGGATGATTTAGTGTCATATACTCTCGAAACCGTCTTATCATGTCCTTCTAGCTTAAGCCAGGTTGATCCTTTCTAGTAGCTTAGAAGGTTGCAGCCTAGATAGGAGCGATCTTATTTACTGCTGACGTAAAGTCTGCAGTTATGATATTAATCTAGGAAACCTCTAGTACGTTTAGCATCTTAGCTTCTGTTGCAGCTTAGCTATATTTAGTAAGCTAGAGGTCCTAGACGTTCACTAAACGTGGAGGCTTGAGGGCATTTTGATATCTGTTGCGAGTTTGTTCTTGCTCAAACTTTGATGCAATCCCAGCCTCCAGCTTCAGATTCTTAATCCACTGTTTTAGTGGTATATTAGGTAAGCAGCAAGTGCGCTGGAGGTGTGGCGCCACAGTAGACTGAACTAGCACTACAATATGTTGTAGGCTAGCTGATTCAGTCTTGTACGCAGCGTGTTTTAGCTTATAACTCTCTATCTAGAGTTTGTAGACTTCAAGATCGTCCTTATAGGTTCTCTGCCCTGATGAGGATAGATCAGATAGTCGGGCTGGCACTCTTCCTTCTCCTAGTGCTGAAGATGGTGTATAATCGGAGATATCGGGGAGCCCTGGTTGAGATGGCTCTGCTAATGGCGTGGTTGTTGAGTCTGGGTCGACTTAGGCCCATACTTTGTAGGCTTCGCATCGGGCTTGTAGCTGGTTGTACCAGGTGCGATAGTCGTTCTCGTTGCGTAAGATAACGGTTACGTTAATTAGAGCAGATTGCGCGTTTATGTTGATTAGCTTGGTAAAGGCAGTAAGTGTAACGGGCTGAACGCCCTTCGCCTCCCATACTCGTCTACGACCTCGTTTACTCCACCTGCCCGGCCCGATTGTTACCCTAGCAACCAGCATTGTATATAGATAGCTACGTAGCCGAGAGCTTAGCTCTCTATCGAATACAATCTTGTTACCTTGGCCTGTCCGATCGTGCTCCCGAGCTTAAGACTACCCTCCGGGGTCGAGCCCCTTACAGTAAGACTCTTAATTGTTAGACTATAAGGGGTTTCTAATTAAGGACTTGTTTTTTAGGTTACTGTAATAAAAGACTATGATAAACTTAAGTATAGAAACTAAGTGTATTAAGTTATTCTATGTCCTCTAGCTGCGCGCACGCGCGCAGCCTTATAAGTGCTATTACTATTGCTTTTTCTGTCTTAGGTACGCGGCTGAGTATTAGCCTCGCCTAGGTATAATTCTTGGCACTCGGCTCTAATTGGCCCGAGTCACAGAATCCGGGTGCTCGATCACACCCGGATCCTATCAGTTATCTGACACCACCTCAGGATCTCTTTTTCCACAATAGCTCTCCCAGTACTAGGCCTAATTGGGCAATTGATAGCTTAATTTGTAGCCCTAATAGAGATCTAAAACTCGCTAGTATAAAGTAGCACGCTAGCTATAATAGATAATAAGAGACCTAAGTCTTAGCAAGCTGGGTAGGCTAATATCTTTTTACCTATTCTCGCTAGCGTGTTACTTTCTATTAGTTAGTTATAGATACTTATTAGGGCTACAAAATAAGCTATCAATTGCCTAATTAGGCCTAGTACGGGGAGAGCTATTGTGGAAAAAGAGATCCTGAGGTGGAGACTTATTCGCCACGGGCGGCTCGACGTTTATCAGGTTAGTACTGTTGTGGACTTCACAATCCATTAATAGCCACTACCTATTTAGGTTGAACCATATACAAACTATCAATAGCCTTTATTAGGCTGATAATCAAGTATTGTGCATTTAGAACTTGGACATCAACTCTGTGAAGTATCTTGATAAAGCATTGCCTGACGGGGCATAGCGCATTGACCGAGGAACACATGCTTAGCCTGGAGACTAGAGGTCACCACTAGATTGTTACTATGTTATACTTGCTCTCACCAGCATATCATTTTGATTATCGGACGTCATGTATTGAGTTGCAAGATATGACGTGCACGACTGCAAAGATGAATAACATATTCTTATGAATATTGTACCCTAGCTAGATGCCTTGTATCTGCGACTCAATCAATGCTGAAGTCTCGCATTATAACTCCCCCATTTTACTTAGGTAGATGATAATCCTGAACAAGATGGAGTTCGCAATGGCCTGGAAATATTCTTATCATCTCTCCAATTAGTTTATTCACATTACCATATTCAGCGACGACCAGAATAAAACTATGATCTTCAGATTTCATTGTAAGCAATCTTGGATACGCTTAGCTGCCTCTAATCCCTGCGACTTTTACTGCTACAAACGGAAGCTTGAAAACCCACAGCTGCTTTCAAGAGCTAGTGGTCGTGCTGGGCTTGACTTCATTCATGATGAGCTTCTTGTAGCCTTCAACTGCACTTTCCAGTTCCCCCACAGTGATGGATTCATCGACTGTGTGGGCCCTCAGGATATCTCCTGGTCCGTACAGGTATCGCGTGTGGTTACCCTGCAACCTAGGGATATCGGTACCATATGACATTATGTCGGTTTCAAAACCTGATCATTGACAGTCAGCACTTTTTCCCCCTGTTTTTCTCCTAGCCTGCTCCGAGTCTGCGGGGACATTGACTTACCATCTACATCACATTTAGTATCGACAACTCCAAAGCCCCAAGGGCAATCGAGTGTAAAGGCCTCTGAATCAACACTATCTAGGATCTCCTGGAGACGGTCCCTCACGGTGATGTGACCAGTTTCTAGGGGTCCTACGGCGACGCGAAGTAAAAGCGACGCGTTTGCTGAACCAGAAATGACATTTTGAGCGACGCCGCCTGCCATTACGCCTACATTGAGAGTGCTGTTGCCGTAGATGTCGCTATTGCCGAGGTCAGCGTCGATTGCCTTTACGAGACCACGCATGAGCACGTGATTGGCGCTTTTCCCAGACGCTGGATAACCGCTGTGACCAGTCAGGCCCTTTGCGAAGACGTTGCAGGCCAGGCCTCCCTTGTGGCCACAGGCCAAAGTGCTGTTGGTAGGCTCGCCGAAGATGGCGGCACTGGGCCGGGTGCCGCGCTCTGTCATCACGTCCGACAAGTGAATCATTCCATCGCCAATTGTCTCTTCGCCGACAACAAAGGCGAGCATGACATCGTCGCCAGTGATGGAACCGGCAGCCACGAGCTCCAGCACCGCAACCGTCTGTGCAGCCAAAGAAGCCTTTGCGTCAGAGGTGCCGCGGCCAGTGATGACGGTCTCGGCCGTTGGTGGGTCAGGGCCTGAGCGGGAGTATGGCAAGTATGGAGGGACGACGTCCATGTGCGTTGTCACAACGATGCGAGATCGGTTGGACGTACGTGGCTCTGGCCAAGCGAGAACATTGAATCGCTCCGAGGGTAGAAACAATCGTTCGGTACCAAAACCCTGCTCTGTAAAGTACTCAACGAGGAAGTTTCCAACTTCAGCTTCAGCACCGGATATCGAAGGGATCTCGACAATGGATTGGTGGAAAGAGAGGAGCTTGTCGCGGTATGATGGAGCACTCTGCGCGCTTACAGCGATGGCTCCCAAGCTGCAGGAGGCGATCAGCGCTGACAGATCTGCCTGCTTCATGTTGTGTAGGTATCGACAGAGAACAAGGATGAAATGATGTAAGGTTGAGAATTTTGGTCCAAAACGATTGTGTGACAGATCCACGTACTAGAGGAAGATCCTGCACGTAATATGTACGGATAATTGTGTGTGTAACCTATGCAGTTTAAGGATGATTGGACAGATGCAGAGTCGTACGACATGGCCGATCCTACACCGGAATCTTTCCGAAAACGCCTATATTCAGCTTACGCCATGACTGCCAAGGAATAGGGATTTTGGAGTGACAATAGCTGGTCAAGGACGATCTCAAGCTGTAAATGGAAGGCAGATATCTCGTGACAGTGCGATCGGAGACCGAATATTGATGAACTAACTCTTTTGGTCTGGACCATTCTCCTGCTGACCATTTGCTGAATTGGCAGATATGAGAGTGCATTGTAGATCGCATTGGATGCCTAAGAAAGGGGCCGGCAGAATACAGGTTTCACGCATATTCCTGGGCCCCACAGTGGCTTAGAGAAATTTGCGGATGTTCTTGGAAGGTCAATGGAGGTTCTTGGGACTGATGAGATTACAACAAACTCGAGAGAGCCCAACTGAAAGCGGGAAGACAGGTGCTTTTATCGAGACTTAGTGAAAGGCACTCCCAAATGACTGCGACTGAGAAGGAATGGGTTCTGTGTCCAAATCTAATATCATTTTCTTCTTCCTGCCATGACCTGATGTTCTTTCTTTTTGCAAGTACGTCAAATCTCTTACCAAAATCTGGCCACATGTAGGAAAAGGCATTCCAAACAAAGCCAAACTTGTCCCGGCGGTGCTGTATGATCTTCTAATCGCAGTCCGCCTAAATAAACTCGGTACAGTATGTGCTCTTGGACCGGATGCGTTCGCCATAAAACCAAAGAATCGCAATGGATGCCATGCCAAAAACTGAAAATGCCGCTGCTAGTACCGTCGCTGCTATGCCAAAGCCCAGGCGATCAAACATATAAGGTGCAAACAGTGGGAAAAAGGCAGCCGCACAACTTCGAGTAAGTAGGGCTGTTGACAGGGCAGAAGCAGAATATTTGACGTAGGTGTCAATCAGGAAGAGAGAAACGCAGCTAGCGCAAACGTAGCATCCGGTGGTGAAAATGAAGCATCCGATGTTGGGCATGATCCAATGAATCCTCGCCTGGCCGGACCATCCCCACCATATCAGCCCAATAGGTACGAGAAGTGTCCCAACGATCATGGCGGGCACGCGAAACTCGGGTTTGCCTACTCCACCATTACGAGCTTTGAGTTTTGCATAGATCCAGTCGTTGAGGTGGCCAGCAACATTAACACCAACAACATATCCTATTGCAGCTGAAATGTAATTCAGACTTCCAATTCGGATGCTCTGGTGGTAATGTTCTTCCCACATGCGAGGATACATGTAGAGGAATAGGAACATGGTTCCGTACAATAGGCCCATGTAGGTTGCGAGAAGCTGGACTATGGGTTGGGTCGCTAGCATTCGGAACGGTCGTTGGAGATTGGCTCTCATGAGCGTTAAGAAGGCAGTCGTCTTTTCAGTGCTCATAGGCTGCTGCTGCCGCTGAGACTTTTTGGCAAAGGTTTGGCGTATCTTTGGCTCATACGTCTCCTTGAAAAAGGGCATCGCTACGACCATGCCGACTCCTGTGGCTATTGATGTTGTCCAAAACACCCACTTCCAATTCGCACCTTCAGAAATGAACGCTCCGAAAATGGGGCCCAAAGCAGGGCCGAGAAGCGGTGCTGCCATGTAGACTGCAAATGCTTTCCCCCTCTCTTCAGCCCTCCAAAGGTCACTCAGGAGACCACCAGCAATGGCATCTGCAACGCAAGCCCCAAAGCCAGATAGAAGCCGGAAGACGAGGAAGGATTCGAGGTTGGGTGCTGCTCCGCAGCCCGTGTTCCAGATGAGAAATACGGCACTGCCGCTCAGCAAAATGGGTTTGCGGCCGTATACTTCGGATAGGGGTGCGAGAAGAAGTGGGCCGAAGCCAATGCCTACAAGAACAAGAGAGTTGCATAGGATCCACTCATAGGGGCGTCTTATATGCAGGTCTCTCGACACTTGCTTTTCCACGGGGACGAGCATTGTCTCGGTCAATGCTTGGAGGAACAAGAAACCCGACGGTATCAGAGTTGCTATCCATTTTCGGGGCCGTGGCCAGTCTCTCGCAGTTTTGACGTCGGCTGGTAGCATCTTAAACTGTTAGTATGTGTGCGCTGGAGTGGTGTTCGTGCAGACGTACTTGGTCATGGTGAGAGACTTGGGCTGTCTGATCAACTTGGTAGAGCGGGGGTCTTTCTGGGTCACGGCCCTTTTCTGAGTCTGCTGTCTGCGCCATTGACATGGCGACAGACATGACACCCACATCTGCCGAAGGGCCCATATTTGTGATGGCTTTGGTCATGATTGACTGCTGCGGGAGGAACGGGGGAACTCGAGGGGAAATTTGAGATTTACTGTGGCCAAACGGCCTTCAGGTGGCGCGAGCACGTAGCGGCTACGGGGTATGACACATAGCAGACATCAACGGTTCTCTTTATCTGGTCGGAGTTCTTTGTGGCGAGCTGATTGGCGGACTTGTTGGCCTGGTAGCCGTGTTTTACCCTCCACGCCCTACGCTCTGCGCCCTACCCGTCGTGCCTTGGCTTGGCTTGGTGTGCCTTACCGTACTGCAAAAACGGATAAATTCCAAGCCCAGAGCCAAGCTATGACGCTCGGCCAGAAGAAGCGGCCAATCATATTGGGTGTTTGGCCAGGGGATTATTGTCAAGCTAGTAAGAAGCGACTGGGCAAGCCCTTGGGGAATGAGGACGAACAGAAGTGGACGTACTTGGATCATCAGAAATGCAAGACATAAGGTGGCGTGCTGACTGCCATGTGTACCGATGCCGCGTGGTTGGGCGTATACATGGTGTTGAATTGACGGAGTCTGCAGCGTAGGTCACGCATTTCTTGGGGGCATGGACCAGTGCGGTGTGACATGGCCCGAGCGCGTGGTAACTCGGGTCGTACGGGACCGGTTTATTATTTCGTGCATAAGTGAACTGAGTACATGTACTTGAAGAGCCCCATTTCCCATTTCCAGACTTTCATGCCGCAGATGGATGCCACTACTGCTGAATACTACTACCACTACTCTAGCTCTGTACTGTCCCCGCCGCCGATGTTCTGGTCCTCTGCGCGCACCTCGACGAGCCAGCCAAACTTGTCGGGGGCCTTGCCGCGCTGGATGGCGCCCAGTTGCGCGAGCAGCCTGGAGTAGACGGGCCCGCCGCTCAGCTGCCCGTCGGCGAGATAGGTTATGACGGTGTCAGCGTGGTCGTTGTCGTTGTCGTTGGCGTTGTGGGGCGGCGGCTGGCGGCACGCAGTGGGCCGCCGGCGCGTGATGGAGCGGATGGGCACGAGCACCACCGACGTGCCGGCGCCAAGCACCTCGCTAAACCCGGCTAACTCCGCATACCCGACCGCCCGCTTCTCCACCCGCCAGCCCACGTCACGTGCAATGTGCTGCACGCTGTCGCTGGTGACGCTGTCAATCGTGCACGGCGAGTCCGGCACCACCAGCGTCACGTCGCCATCGCGCGAGTGCACCCCGATGAAGCCACACGTGCTGAACTCGTCGACCTCCTCGTGCCGCGCGCTGTCCAGGTGCAGTGTGATGCCGAAGCCCTCGGCCCTCGCCTGGTCACTCCACCGCAGCACCGGGGCATAGTTTCCACCCACCTTGGCGTGCCCGGTGCCTTTGGGCGCGGCACGGTCAAAGTCGTCGAGAATCAGCGCCTTGACCGGCTGCGTGCCCAGATACGCCCCCGTCGGAACCACAAACACGCTGAACGTGTACTCGTCGGGCGCGCTGAGCCCCAGGTGTGCGCTCGACCCATACACCTGCGGCCGCACGTAGAGCGCTCCCCCAGACTCGTGCGGAGGAACATAGCTAGCGTTGGCCCCCACGGCGGCCCGGCACGCCCGCAGAAACATGTCGACAGGCACCCTCGGCATCGAGAGCACGTCGCACGAGTGCTGCAGCCGCATGGCGTTGCGGTCCGGCCGGAACAGGACAATGCCGCCGGGCGTGCCAGGTGTGCGGAACGCCTTAAATCCTTCCAGCGCCTGCTGCCCGTAATTGAGCCCAGGCGACATGCCGTGGATCCTCACGTATGGGTCCGTGACGAATCTGAGGGGACTCCATTTCCCAGTGCGCTTCGAGTAGGTCGACTCGATATGACCATTGACTATGACTGTGCTGAGTAGCTATCCGCCGGCTGCAACCAACTGACGCACCTTCATGAACCTGGAAGTTCTTGTCCATATTGGTCCAGTCAATCGTAGTGACCGGGGGAGGGGGAAACGACTCCATGCTGTGTCTATCTTGTGGCTGTCTTGCTAGAGTCTACGTCCACTGCACTCGGGCGCAACTGCTACTGCTATATATATACCTTTGTGTGCATGTATATAGCCAATACCCTGTATACTGCAAATCCACGTTGGAAACACATGGGTGTGCAAACTACGTCAATCACGCTGCAGTCATCCCACAATCATACCCTGATGCCCGAACAATGTCCGGACAATGCCTCGACACCTCCACCACGCTGCAAACCAATTGGAGTCTCCAGTGCGGTCCATCCTCTCCACTTCGTGCCTCTGCTAAAGCATGCGCGAGGCATACTGTCTCGCTAGACCCTCGGATACACCTCGCCCAGTGGTAAGTTTATTGCCAACCCACGGCAGCAGATGGCAAACTAGGCAGGCCGTAAGAGAACCATATTCATTGCAGGTCTTGGAAAGCTCAAATCTGCCTAATTGCCTAGCTGAGCTGCGTCTTAGTGCTTATATCGCTCGGTGTTGCAGATGCAACAGTGGATTCTTTGGGAATATCTCTCATGTGGGAAACAGCGGGGCATGATTATGGTGTGATGACTGCATCTTCAAAAGATGCAGACAACTGTGGAAGCTTGTTCAAAGATGAGTTGCTGTGCACGCTGTTGGCTATATATTGGGGTGGATACTCACCACAATAGTCAACTGTATCAGAAGCACCTCATTGATAACGCCCTACCTCTAGCTTCAATCACATCTCTTCTATCTCCTCTTTTCAACCATGGCCATTTCAAAAGCTGCCGACTCGGAGCGCGCCGTTACAGACATCTTCAACTCTGCCATTGGCGCCATAGCCATCGGCGCCGCCTGGGAAGTCGGCCTGCTCGATGAATTGCGAAGCCATGACAAGGTCGATGTGACCAAGTTCGCCACTCAACACAATCTCGACCGTGACTCGATGCACGGACTAGCCACTGCCTTGGCTGTTGTTCAAGTCGTCGAGCACGATCAGAACACGGTTGCGCCTGGCAAGCTGCTCGATGAGGCCTACCGTACAAAGTCACTCTTCCACTGGCTCATGCTAGGCTCAGGAGGACTCTTCACCCGCATGCAGTACGTCTTGCGCAACGAGAACCGCACTGGAAAGTTCTACCAACGCGACCCCGTCGCCATTTCATACGCTTGCAAAGACATTAGCAAGGAACACTTTGACCCAGCCTTCTGGACTGCCATGGAGGGACTGGATTACAAGATCAACTCCGTCGTCGACCTGGGCAGCGGGAGCGGCGAGCGACTGATGCAGGTTCTGGATCGGTACCCTGGAACCGTTGGCCTTGGTGTCGATATTGCTGGTCCTTCGCTCAAGGTCGCTGCTGCCACGGCAAATGATCGTGGTCTTGGAGACCGGCTGTCCTTCACTCCTGGCGACGCGCGAACTTTGGGCTACCGCGACGAGTTTGCCAATGTCGACCTGCTGACATGCTTCATGATGGGCCATGACTTCTGGCCTCGCGAAAACTGCGTTGCTACCCTCCAACGCTTGCGTACCGCCTTTCCCAAGGCCCGTCGCTTCCTCCTCGGCGACGCAACCCGCATTCTGTTGAACACTGACAAGTCTCGCTCCCAGCATGCCGTCAGTGACAGTAATGTACCCATTTTTACTCTGGGCTTTGAATTTGGCCACGCCTTGATGGGTGTCTACATTCCGACAATCGAGGAGTGGGATGGCGTATTCGAAGAGGGTGGATGGCGTTGTGTTAAGAAACATCTCATCAAGTCCTTGTCGCTATCAGTGATATTCGAGCTTGAGAAGATATAAGTTGCAATACTATGTAGTTCTAGTTGCCTTAGGATAGGCAATGAAAATATGGCCAAGTTAGTTATTTTGTTAATTGCTTCCAACTGAAAATCCCCCCATTTATTACTTCCATGAATCGATGACTGTGGGTGCATATTCTACTGTACCTTTTGTTTCTTTTGAACGATAAAACATCTGATCACTGCACCTGTAGATAGGAACATCTGCAGAGTGTTGATTGCATTCGTCGTTCAAAAAGATTGTAACATCTAAAAACAAGCAAATTTTCTACTTCGAATAAATAGCACATATATTTGAAACAATTCATTGTTAGAAAACCATATATTGGAAATATATCTAAGCTAATTTCCAGAGACGAAGGACACTACCGAAATTCAGATTAATGTGCATTGGCAACTCCACTATCCAGACTACAAGACCTGGCGGACCAGCGTAGAAACAACTACCCGTTTCTGCTTGGCACAGTGCACAAATAAAAGAAAACCAGACACCTTTGTTCGCGAACCATCGCCACCAGTAGTGAACACTAAGTTTCATGTGATGAATCCATCTACCAAGACACTCGGCGTAAATCAGGTTACGGAACCTGGACTACGGCGCCTAAGGCTTCAGTGTCGAAATCGTTATCGTTGGACAAATTTTTAGTGTTCGGAAAAACACCCATATTCTTGGGGTTGTACTGCCCTGCGGCGCCCACGGCGGTATTCCAATCAGTCTTGACCTTTTCCGGCACGGATCCAGGGGCTCCTGGCAGCAGCGACTTAGGGCCGAATCTGAATGATGTCGTCTTGGACCCATCAGCGTTGATCGTTGTCGTGAACGTGACCTCGTAGCCTCGGGCGATCAGGGCAGCCAGAACAAGACCTACGGCCGTGGTCACCTGCTGAGGCGTGAGCTGCTGTCCCCACTTGAGGAGCCCTTCCCAAGGAAACCCGGAACCCAAGTTAGCAGCAAATGCAGTATCGCAGATTTGCCGAATCATTTCGTGCGCCACCGAAGCAGCATATGATTCAGCTGGTTCCGTAGGCAACGTCTTCGCATCAGAATCGGCGGGGGTTGAAAGGGTGGCCAGATTATAAAACACATCCTTGCTCTTGATGCCCTGATAAACCAGATTTCCGTCATGGACGCCTCCCCAGCGCGTTGCACTGGCGACAATGGTAGAGTTGGGGTCGTAGTAGAACTCCTGGCTCCTGTCCCACTTATCCGTTCCCCACATGGTGTTTGAGGATAGATAGAACTTTTCTTTGGCTGTGGAGTTGATGCTGGTGTTGGCGAGATCTATCGTCAAGTCGCTATCTGCGTGGGGTATCAGTTCAATGCTCAATTGGTGAATGGCACAGCTGCAACTCACTGATCCAAATGCTGAAGCCGCTGTGATCTCCTCCATCCCAGATTGTTTCATTTTGGTTGGAACACTTCCGAAATTGTGGGTAGATGACTATGGCGATGCCGGAGTTGCGGAGGGTGTAGTATCTGATTCCAATTGGAGGTGCCATGTTGATGAAGTTGAAATAAAAGCGCAAGCAGCTATGCCAGTAGTGAAGTAATAAGGGTGGTGGATCTTGAAAACAATCTGCTGAAGAAGGCTGAGAGAAGTAGGCCTGGATGAAGGGTAAGGATCGAAAGCAGTGGTACACAATGCTCTTTAAGTAGCCCAGCAATGTCCCTTAAGCAACCTCCACTTAGTACCATACCGACAGTGTTGATGCGGGATGTTTCTTTGAGCTACCATCTCGGCGGCTCCGGATTGTGGCACTGGCTGGGCCCATCTCGATCAAGTTCTGGCTTACAAGGGTGCTAGCCGAGGATGCCAGATTGAGCATGCGGCTAAACCGAAGCAGTCTCGACAACCTGATTTAGGCAAGTGATTCCCGATTAAGCGATCAGCTGAAGAAACCCAGTTCGTGGCTTAGCTGATGGTCCATGGCTGGCTAGAAGATGCTGTCGCATGATGTTCAGACCCTAGCAACGAACGGCCTTCCTTGCCTCATGATGGAAGCCACACTCATAGTGGCTGATCGAATCGGTTGTCTAGGACTGGAGATTGGCAATCTTGATTGCCTAGAGCAATCACTGTAAGGACTTATTGTTTCAGGTAGGCATTGCAGGTAATGGTCTAGACCTATAGACTGAAGCGCGCAGTTCGGGGACGCCGCCACACACCGTGTTGTTGTGACAAGCGTGTGCAACTTGAGTCTTTGGGCGCTGAACTAATGCATTTTGAACGGGTGAATGCGGGTCTACAAGACCTGAGTTATCAGCCGTTGTAAGGGTTCGAAAGGGACGGGACTTAGACTCTCAGCCCACGGGCCGTTGCTTGACGTTTGATAGGCCAACTTCTGCAAATACGATAGAATACAGGCAGGCATGGGCATATGGCATTCTCAATCGAGGATTTCTGAATACACTGGGGACTGTGCGCAGAGTGAGCCAGTCTGGTGCTATCCTGGTAAACTGCGCCTCTCTCCGATTTGAATTAGTTCAATGATCGTTGGAAAAATACCCATGCTGCGCTACACGAGACCATGTCTGGAGATCTTTTTCACTTGATTGGTTTGCGATGCCAACAAGTCTGAGACCACATTGGTTTTCTAGTCGACGAAGTCATCGTGATCACAAGAGTTCTCAATCATCGTAACCGCCAATATAGACTTGTAGAAATGCAACATTGATCGCAATCACAGCTAGTAGTTTGATCAGATCCCAAAATCATGTCAAGAACATATGATAAGAAGATTTCAATAAGCATAGCCTGCTAGGGTGTCTCACGAAATTCCGCGGCTGATTGGTAGCAAAATGATGTGCTCAGAAACAACCGAATAGCCGAAACGCGACGCAAGAACCCTTCAGCAAGGATGAAGGCCTAGATCCGGCTGTAGATCCACAGCCTCGGAGGCGAAAAATTCCTGGTTGCTTTGAAAGTTTATTGGAAGAATGGTTCAAACAATTGGTACGTTACAACTGCACAGGCTAGAGGGGCCGCATCTTGCTGTTTTGTACGAAAGAGCTCGTAAGTATTTACTTCGTGGGTCATGTTCTAGCCGATGTGCCATAATTCCCCTTCAACGTTTTCCTTCTACCACCATACCTTGGCATTTAGCTACGACAATGTAAACAAGGATATTGTAAATTTCATGATTCAGTTCTATGTTTTTCTTTACCTAGTCCTAGGAAGGGATAGCGTTGCTATCAAAATGTCGTGTATCGACGTAAATGTGGCTACTTGCTAGAGTAAGCGCACAGGCCCACATCATTCCCCAATGAATACGAGATCATTCGTATACGGCTACTTGGCAAATTGCCTAGTCAAGATATCCAGTTTTGTGCGTCGATGTGGCTTGCTAGAGTTCATGTTAAGCTGAAGTTTCAGCTTTGATAATTGATTGAAAGATTAGCCAATACGGACAGTAGTGGAATTCTGATGGCAGTGGCTTCCAGGCTACCTTCATAAATGAAAAGTACTATTAGCAACCCTTGGCAGATTGAGATACATATTCAACTGAGCCTCCCCATACTACAACTGATGCAAAATCCGCCTACATCATCTCAACATTCTTGGTGAGATTAGTTTCACCTTTTTGAAAGTATAAATTTCACACCACCACGAGCCATTGACTCTTGTCTACCGATAAGCCTCACCTTCATCAAACTACAGGCTGGCCTTCAGACAAGGAAGCCGGAACGTTGAATGGTATATTAGTCCTCTATATTTTCCACAACCACGCGACTATCAAAATGGGCGAGATAGCTGAAAAAAATATCGATGCCGCATTTCGGCTTTCTTTTACCACCATATCCATTCGGACTGAGGGCGCAGCGAAGCTCTTCGACTATTCGGCATCTTTGTCACTGTCCAAAGCCGAAGTGATGAAACTCGGAGGCGCAGATGATGACACCAAAGTTGGTTCAATCAAGCTCAGTTGCTTCTGGAAGCGGATCGGCAGAAACCAATTCTGTCTTCCAGATGGTGGCGTGATCAACAGTACATCAACCCTCCTGGAGTACTTCGTTGCAGCATGGCCTCATTTCAACAAGGACCTGACCGACCTGGCAAAAAAGCACATATACACAGTTTGCTTTAAGCAGTCTGTAGTTGTCCCGGATTCCAAGAAAGCTGGCGATGTTGCCTTGGACCTCAAGCTTCACACTTTCGAAAACAAGCCTACGGAGTTTGGCAAGCTGCCTGAGGCATCTGCCATTGACCCGAGTGCGATTGCTTCGGCCGGGCAGGGGACTGTAATTCGTCCTGGCCAAATGAGCGTTGATCACTGGAACGAAGTGGTTGTGGTCAATGGTCTTCTGAATGGCTTCTGCATTGATCAAACGGGTCAGAAAATCACCAAAGCGCGGAAAACGGCCTTCAAGCTGGAGCCCAATCCACTTCACCCGTTGATGTTTTCACCCGGCACGTTGCCGTCGGCCGAGATTAAGAATCTTAAGGATCGAGCTAAAGCAGCTATCGACATTTCGCCAATCGCACAAGTTGAACTAAGCCTGAAGCATGCCTCGACAAACCTCGGTGCCCATGACGCAGGAGACAAAGATGATCCTGAGCCTCCGCCCTCCCAGCCACTAGATCATCTTTATCCTTTATGGGAGGTCTGTGATGATTCAAAAATGAAGATTGAGAATATCAAGAGCACGATACAGCTCGCATCCGCCGAGCAGGGGTTCTCTAGTACATCTGTAGAGGCAGCTGTCGCAACCAGCGTCATTTCTATCTCTGCGGGTGGGTCCGCTGGCTTCTCCACCAAGTCCAAATCGAGCACGACCGGCGAGAAATCGGAACAAATGCACGCCACATACGAATTTCCGCGCGTTCGACTGTACCTTGATGAAGACTCTATCAGCTTATCCACAGACTGCGCCGATGCCATTAAAAATGTTATTTCCACAAAGAGCTATCAGGCTCTGAAAGACTTCTATCGTAACTACGGTCACTTGTTTGTCACAAAGGTGAAGCTCGGAGGTCGACTTCGTGCTACGAGGTTCCTCTTGGCAAGCGAAGAGAGTAGTAAATATTCAGCCCAAAATGCGTGGAAAGCTTCCATCGCCGCTTCGTTCAACTCAGGCACTACTTCTGGCAGCGTTAAAGCATCAACTGAAGCCGCAAGTCAGAATGAGAGTGCTTCGGCTTCCACGGCCCTCCACGAGTCCATCTGCTGGGAAGCCCATGGCGGGAATACGACATTGGCCAACAACCCTGCTGCTTGGTGCAATACCGTAGAGAACTTTTGGTACTGGCGGGTGGTTGAACAAGAGGTGGTGTTACCCATCGAGAATATCATCTCGAAACTTGAAGGATTCGAGTCAACTCGAACCATATTCGCTGGTATTACACTTGACGCAATGACTCAAGACAATGCTACACAAATTTGGTGGAACGGCGCGGATGGTGCCGCTCTTGGACGTGGCATATCTGCTTCTGGCAAAGTCAATAAACCCACTGACATATTGCGCGAGTCACCGCTCAAAGCCGGCACCATTGACCCTCCTCTGCCTATGCCGGTGCAGCCTGACCCGCAATGGACGGTCATCAACAGTAACAACAGTCTGTATGGATTCTTATCAGATCTCTTCGGCAAGACTGTGAATCAATATGTTGGAACGAAGGTCTTTCCCAACCTTGTCTGGCGACTTGCATTGAACGATCGAGCCTTCAGTGTTGTCCTCAGGTTGCAGACTGGGCTCAAGAAGTCATCAACAAGCTTCACACTTGGCGATGGGTCGCAGCCTACAGACAAGGAGGAATGGAAGAAGGCCTATGGTGACTATTTCATCAACTCGATGATTCATGGCAAATCCATCACCGTTGCATGGATCTTCACACCTCAGTCCAGCGGCCCTGAGCTGACCCAGACAAGAAGCGCCGTGGCAGACGTCTTTACTGGTCAGAGCTTCGAGATGGGTTGTGCCTATATGGCTAAACTCGCCATCAGCATCCCATGCGAGGTGTTCATGTACGACGCATACTTCGCCGAGACCAAGCTCTCTTCGCCTTCCAACGTCTTACTTGACATTGCAAAGCGTAACCTCGGCGACGACCAGGTGATTTCAGTTGGACTAAAGCCGTACAAAGACCTGGACTTTCTCCAATCGGCTGCAGAGGCTACAACTCCTTCCAGCGTCTCTGACATAGGCCTTGGGATAGTCCGAAAGGACCATGTTGAGTACACTTACCAATCGATCAAGCGGCGGCAGGATACAACTCCCATGGATATATCCGTAAATAACGTAAAAAATTGGTCCACAGACTTCTCTCAACTTACATACTTGGAGGCAACCAAAGACCCCACTGGAACCCACGCAGCCGCCACAAACCTGGTCGCGGACTACGAGGCCTTGTATCAAAGGCAATCGCCACCAAGCAAACCTCGCATGGATGATTGGGGTCAATATGGTGATGAAGTGATATATGATAGAGTTCTGAGATGGTTACGACTGAGTCGACAAGCTGAAGGAAATGCCCTGCCTTCACAGTCGTAAGTAACGGCTTGCATTGTTCACTTTATTTGTGGCTTCGCTAACTTACTGTTTAGGAAATCAGCAGCATCTACTATATTTGGACTAAAAGACGAGCCAGCTATGACAGACGCGGAGAAAATTCCTGGCCGACCTTACGTGGAGCCGGTTGTTTTTAGCCTTCGTGACCAGATTAAGAAGATGGGGCTCGCTGAGATTGTGACGGTCAGCGGATCGCTCGACTCGGTTTGGTCATATGTGTTGGACGACACCAATTTTGAGAAGACGACGTTCCCCAAGCCTGGCAGGGTCCTGGCATATGAGCTGAAGGCCCCCAACTGGGATGGTCAAGGCAAGCCACCTGCGATAACGTCTGACGGTAAGCTGGAGCCCAAAGTGGGAATGGAGCTTAGGGACTTTGCCAAGGACCGCACCGCTACCAAGACGAATGATTGGATCTTGTCCGACTTGTGGATTGTTTCTGCCCCATACAAGTGGCAAGCCATTGTTTCCTAATCCATCTATTTTGTCTCAGTGTCTTGAGGGCTTGACTTACAAGCTACTTCGTGTAGCTATATATAGTAGCCGAACCAGCCGGACCAGCAAGAGTAACTAGAGCAGCCGGAGTATCTAGAAAGGTCAGAATAAGATCATAGTAGCTACAATTGCCCCCCTTTTCAGCTCTGTCATAGGTAGTGGGAATACTTATGAACTTTGTTCTTGTAACGTATGTGGCAAGCGAGCGCCGCAGGCAAGCGAGCGCCGCACCCCACCAAACCTGCGCACCTCTATAAGCCTGTAGTTCCACCACAATATAGTTGTTTTACTACATATTAACATAATAGATTAAGCAGTACCTAGAGTATCTTTCTTGCACGTACGCGAGTTATGGCCAGTCTCTCTGCACCTACCACAGCGCGCCAAAGCCTGGCGGCTAACACCTGATCGCTCTCCTCTCTGACGCTCTTCATGAGCAATCTGCTGATCAGCCTCGCGCTGAGCGAGTAGATCCTCTCCAGCTCCCTTTGTAAGTACTCCTCGCTTCTGTATCCGCTTTTTCTTACGCTGCCTACGCTTTGTTGCTGCCTCATTAGCCCTCTCAAGGCTGGCGAGCCGATCGCGCATTAGCTCAGCCAAGAGCATCATTATCTCTACCCCCTTCTTAAGCTGGCTAATTGCCCGCAATAATTAACGCTAGTAATAAACTCTTATGCCGCTGAACCCGGTCACGTATTAGCGTTAATTGGGCTTCAAGCTCGCGTACGTTGCTTGGGGTACGAGCCTGCCAGACAGCCTCTGCGACAGCAGCTGGA